TTTGCTATTATAGCCCCCACTTGAAAGGTCTCCGGGATTTCAATCTTTACCGCCTTTAATTTGTTGACAAGGACTTGCATCTCATGTATTTGGGGAAGTAGGGGAATATTTTCCAAAAACTTAAAATCAAAATATTTTGAAATTATAAATTTCTTTGTACCTTCTTCCTCTTAGTTTCGTTTTCCATCACACACAAAAAATTCGTTTGAGATTGTTGAAAATAATGTTACTCCACCAAAGATGAGAATGAATTACAAATAGAAAAATTATCGAAAGAAGTATAGGAGATGAACAAATGGCAAAGGATATATGAAGAACTTTGAAGGCTCAAACATAATCTTTGATTGTTGTCCTCAAACGAATTTTGCCCCCACTATTTTGGTGTTTAAAGGGTGATCCGGCAAAAGGTTTGAAGGATTAATCAAGCCTTATAGAGATTCAAACACTAAACACTTGTTTGAATCTCTAAAACTTAAGAACACAAAGAAAAGATGAATATGAGAGGGTATTTTATCTTTTGGATTTGATCTCAAGAAGGATCAATATAATAAGTGTTTTTTCAACATTTTTCAATGACCCAAGATCACCTATTTATAGCCAAGTAGTATAGCTTTACGAAGTGGTGCACCTTATGGATGAAAAGTCACCAAAAAATCAACAAAAAATGACCCAACGGTCGTTTTTTCTGTACCATGCGACCGCATGGTACAAACCCATGCGGTCGCATGGTGCAATCCTACCGAGACCATATGGTCTCGGTAGGGTTCCATGCGGTTGCATGGCGTCGCATGGCCTAATTTTTTTATTTTTATTGTTGGTTTTGAACAATTATACCACTTCATAACATTTTTCCCATTCTCACTCTCAAACTTTTGTAGTAAAATCTAAGTTCGTCCCATATTTTATTTTTCTCGTTTTTTCCACCTAAATTATTGTTTGCTTATTTGATTTGAGCATCGAAGTGCATAAGATCGTGATCTCTTGCCTTTTCTTAAAAGTCGCTATCTATGCCTCTATCGTACGTGATCAAGCGTGCAAATAAATTTACATAAAGGGTAGAGAAATTGAGATTTGTTGACACCTGACTCTCACCAAATTAGATGGTCAACATATCCCTTCATTATCCTACTTGTCAAATAATTTAGATTGTAGATCATAATTAATATTATTATAATTATCTTTATGACACTTGATATTACATAGAGATCGCCTCTTTTTTTTTTTTTTTCCATATGTTTAAATTTAAATTGTATTTAAAAATTAAAATAAATAAATAAATAATGATCTCTTAAAATATGTAAGGGCCTGTTTGATTCGTTCGAATTTCACATTTTTTTCAATTTTATGTGTTTGATACGTTTTAACTTCCATGGAATTCCATTTTTTTCTTGCTTGTTTTGGAAATTTGTATTTTCTTGGTTTTCCAATCTACTGTTCATGTTTTCTTTTCTTTTTCTTTTTTTTCTTTGCAATAGAAACAAATTTTAAGAATTATTGTAAAAAAATATTTCACTTTAATTGACAATTTTCATGTAAAACAAAGTCAAACGAACACCAAAAGATAAATAATTTTATTAATATTTTTTATTTTTTTGTTGGCAATGGAAACGAATTTCATTTCCAATACTAGTAAAATCTATCCCTTTAATTGACAAATTTCATGTAAAGCAAAGTCAAACGAACATCAAAAAATGCTTTTATTTTAACATTTTCAAGTGAAAAATTATACTAATCAAATACAATAATTTATAATTCTCAAAAAAATAATTTTTAGACAATTCAATTCTTTGAAAATCCTTTTCAATTCAATTCTAAAAGTAGATATAATTGATTTAATCCTGATTCTACGTTGAACTTGACCCATTGGTCAGTAATCATACTACTTCTGTCCATTGTACACAGTCAGTGTCACACAAAGAAAAAGTACACAAAGGTGGGCCGTCGGCACATCTTCCCGCCCTTGAAACCCACTCTCTACTCTACAAATACACCGAATACAGGCCTTGGGTGGTGGTGTTTTTTGTGAATTCTTAGATTGTTAAATCGGAATCTGGTAAGGAACAACTCAAAAAGGGAGTTGAATATAATTGGGATATAGAAGAAGAGGTTTCGATGAAGCCTGCATGGCTAAAGGGGCTAATGGAGGAGAAATTCTTCGAGCAGTGCGGGATCCATCAGAATCGCAGGAAGAACGAAAAGAATATTTTCTGCTTGAATTGTTGCCGAAGCTTTTGCCCTCATTGTCTTCCTTCTCATACCACCTCTCATCCTTTACTCCAGGTTCAATTTATCAGCTTATTTTGTTTAATTTATTGTCGTGTTCTTCTATTTGTAAAATTGATCGTGTCTAGAGCAGCGGCGGAGGGAGGGGAAGGGCAACACAGCCACCGCCGCCCACCGACGGAGCATTTTTATATTTTCCTGTTTTCATATAGAAAATTTTAACATATATATTTGAATAATGAGCTCACACTCCATTGAATACCACCACGGATAGATAACATACCACTAGACATTTCGTCTCTTCGATATTTTTCGACTCTTATGTGAAAATCCTGGCTCTCTTGTTTTTATTGACATTTTTGGAAGAATTAAGTCATGAATTTTGCCTTGCAAAGGGTTCTTCTTCAGTTGTTGCTTTCAAAAACTGTTTTGACCCCAATCGTCAAATTGTAGACAATTGCAGCTCTATTCTGTCTTTGTTCAGAATACCCATTAGTACTGACAAATCATTTATCGATCTCCTTCCCCAAACTCAGTTTATTTATAACTATGTCTCGATTTGCAAGTTACCTGACATTAAATGACAGATCCAGTAAAAAAATATTTACAATACTGTACGAATTTTGAATTTCATAAATGATAATTTACACACCCACCATCAATTTCCATCGAAGGATGGAAAAGGGGTTAAATAAATGAAAACAAAAAGACTGAGAAACTGAGATACGATCGAATTATGGTTCAAATCTGCTCTTGAATTTTTGTATTGGCCAGTTACATGTCATTAACCTTGTTCGAGTTTGAATATATACCATATCGGTATACAGGTTAGGAGATATGTGTATCAAGATGTTATTAGATTGGACGATCTCGAAAAGCTCATCGACTGTTGCTACATTCAGGTACCACTCGACATAAATTTGTTATAAAGAATTATAGTAATTTCATGACTTTATTATAAGACCTCTGTTACCTGTACACTATAAAGGTAGTTTGATAGATGGCATTCATCCGTCCTTTGATTTGACTTACTGGAATTCAAATCAGAATAATGTCACTCGACCCATATGGATGACACCTTCGATGACCGTTCCCTCACATGGGATGCGTGGATCCCGTGCGAATAAAATTATCCCGACTCTCCATGTGTGTTTGTGCAGTCATCCATGCGGGTCATGTAGCACGGTTGTTCAAATCTACGGATAGATGCATTCATTTGTCAAACTACTTCTACAAAATATTAATGCAAGTAGAATAATTCTTGTTAGATATCTTGCATCATTAGTAATTAGAAGTTTATCTTTGTTTATGCAGCCCTACACAATAAATAGTGCAAAAGTCATATTCTTGAATCAAAGAGCTCAATCTAGATCTTGCAAGGGTTCTGGCAATACTTGTTTCACCTGTGACAGAATTCTTCAGGAGCCATTTAACTTTTGTTCACTCTCATGCAAGGTCCAAACTTCCATTTAACCGCTCAATTAGGACTCGATTACGAATTCTTCAAGTGCAATATTTTTTTTTTCCTTTTTAGTATAATCTTATCTTAAAAGCGCCCCCTTTAACTTCTCTCTTGCTTACATTATCTAATTCGGAATTATATAAATATACGCAGGTGGATCACATGACTTGTCAAGGAGAAGATTTATCGAGTATTCTGTATAGATTTGATGAATCTGATTTCACCATATCGCAATTCGAGGGGCTATGCATGGATGTCTCAGACGAGGCTCAAATGACGCCCAATCCCTTCTTAGAGGTCGACCCAATATTGGAAGAATATAGAGGCGCGTCTGATTCTAGTTACGGCATTGGCAATTCTGCGATCTTCAAGGAAAAAGAAACCGCGAAAATGAAGGGGAAAGGCGGGTTTCTTCCTGGTATTATGCTCTCCTTGAGCAGCAGGAGAAAGGGAGCTCCTCATAGATCTCCTCTCTCTTGAACCTCGATGCTTTAAGGAACATCTCAAGTCAAAATTTTAATTGAATTCAATAGTATGTCATTGGGAATTAATTAGTGTCTCCATAAATATGTTACGTTATTTATGCAATTTTATCAGAAACCATCGGTGATTAATTAAGGTCGTATTGAATAGAACTAGTTAATATTGCATAATTGAAATAAAGTTGGTTTTATACTAATTTTGTTTTGAAATAAGAGGAATATAATGTCTCTTTGCTCTAAGATTAACGTGTATTTGATTGTGAAAACGAAATAAATTTTAGAGACAATATTAGAGACATCATCTTATGCTTAAAAAATCACATCGATTTTTAATATTTATATATTTTAGTATCACATTTAATTATTGTCAATTTTAAAGTCATATTTTATTTTAAGAGCCTGTTTAGGAGCGATTTTATCACCCAAAAAATTGATTTTTTGATCGTTATTTCACTATTTCAGCCGTCATATTTGACTTCTTCTCTCACAGGTGGATCTTACTTTTCTCCTAACGATAAAAAAATTATTTTTTAAAATCACTTCCAAACATGCTCTAAATAAGGTTAATCTACCCAAAATGCCCTTGTGAAGAAGAGAGAAAATTGGGTAAGTATATTCATATACACTATTTATTACTTGCACCGCACTTTAATTACACATAAGATTCTCAATCTATGGCCACTATAGTACTTTTGTCTCTAATTTGTTCGAAACATTATCCCCATTCTTTGATTAATTGGTAAATCTCTCGTCTAATGACAAATTTTCATCCAAATTGTCCGTTGAGAGGGCATAAAATGATTAGCCCTTGTTTGAGGCCCATTTTTTAAGAATATATTTTGTAAAAAGTGATTTTTTTTTTCCCGAAGAATACATGGTTATAAAAGAAAAGCTTTGACTTTTACGTGTGAACTTATTTTATTGAGAAAATGTATATTTGTAAATAAGTTTTGAAAAAGGGTTGAGATTCTTAAATAGAAATAAAATGTAGTGTAATAAGTAAAAATTATGGTATGAATATAATTACTCAATAGAATTTACTACCACTAGAAATAACAAATGCACTTGTTAGTAACAAAAACTACGAGAAAGGAAAAATATTTTTAAGATTGATTTTTATTATGATTTAAAATTATAATGACTTAATATCATTGGTCGCTAGTTATTAAAAAAAAATAATAAATAAATAAATCAGTTTTTAAGTGTCATTTTTAAAAATTTTAATATAAAGTATGATTGTTTAATGGAACCAAGCCGATTTGCCACCCTCCTTGACAAAAAACTAGGGAGAGGGGAAGCATTTTTATTTTATTTTTTTCATTTTTTATTTCACGCGGGTTCCACGCATATGTTGAGTATATGGCAACCAAATGGGCAAACATTTTCTGGCACACCAGCTTAATTCCTATTTAATGTCAAAAATATGAGAATGGGCAATAGAAAAATAAAAATAAGAACAAGAACACACGAATTTACGTAACAATCGAAGATTGAAAAGAACCCTAGTCAGAGGAGAAGAAAATCAACTATATCAACGATAAGTATAAGAAATGAACATTTTGAATGGCTACTCCCAAAAATATATCATATAGAGTGCGAGAATATAAAATTATCATAACAGTAATTTTACCATATATGTCACATCACGAGTTTTTCGTGCTGAACCAAACAAAATTCGAGTCATCATACTCAAATATTTAATAATTCTATTAATTAATTAAAAGAAAAAAAACTTACAAATCACCCAAACATACTCGATTATGGGCAATAGGACCAACTGGTGGATTTGTACGGGCATTCAAGTGTTAACAGACAAAAAGGCCAGAGTGGGACCTTCCAAAAATGCCCTTCCATTTTTCCACATTTATTTCTAGACAAAAAGTTCATGTTAAAATTCCACCTACATCCATCCAACAATTGTGTAAACATATCCCATAAACATCTCAACATGTCACCTTGAAGAAAAGTTTTTTTTTTTCTTTTTTATTAAAGGACAGTAAAGTATCGATAATAATTTTGATTTATTTTATTATGCTTTGATAAGATCTTGTCTCTGTAAATTTTATTAGTTGACTCGAAAATTCAAAGATAGGAAACAATCAATTTAAGTATTCAAAATTAGTATTCTTGACTGTCAAAAGAGAGGAGACAACTAATTTGACTAAATAATCAAGAAATTTTAACATGGTGACAAAACACAGATTTTCTCAACTTTTTATTTCGGTGCCATGATAGATTGGTTTTTATACACAAATTCTTCAGTAAAGAGTATTACTCGGGAAGATTAAAGACAAAATTAGACGTCTTGAAGCCTCTCATGAGGCGGTCGAGTTGATGGAGTAGATGAGTGCGTAGGTCTTTGATCACGAATTTAATTCGCCCTACCAACACTTTCTCGATCAAGCCTATCGTATCGAGTTTGTCAAGTGCGGTTTACCTGACTGGCGTAATTTGCAGGCATTTGCGTTAGCCCGAGGTTTTACCCAATGTATACCTGAAAGATAGCGGTTGCAAATTCCCCCGTCATAAAAAATAAATAAAATTGGACATCTTGAATGTGGAATTAACGATGGTACTGTTGATCTCGAAAAATGTACCTCCAACGTGGTCAACAGATTCTAAGACCTCTCACGTCCAGATAAGTCGTATTCCTGTACACTGGGACAAACCGTTAGTTACACGTGGCCCTCTTCGATGGGGGTGGAGCCGGCCACGCATACTCCGACGGTCAAGTCAATTTTTTTGAGGAGAAGTATATGAGTGTGGGAGGGTTTTAACGTAAGCCTCCAATATATAAAAAGGGGGTCGGTATTGGGAGTGAAATGGAAAATGTAGAGAACAAAGTTATAGTATCAAAGTTTAAATTTGCGTTACCCTTGATGACACTAAGCGTGAGTTTTTATAGTATGAGATATTGAGTGTACGTCGTCAGATGAGAGGACACGTGATCTTATCCTCCTAGATTTAACTTCCCATTATGGGTATCAATCAATCACAACGTATTTATTCTAATGCTAATTTCCCTTCCATAAACTATATCTTGAGACAGTTGACTTGACTTGACCAAGTAGGTTGGCTACGACGACTGTGGCAGGGAGTTGTCATGTCAACCATATCAATAGATTTGATTCAGAAGGTGTTCGGCCAAAGTGCCTTGCCTCCATCCTTGAGGGGGATTCAGTTACATATGGGTTCGGTTATAGATGGGTTCAGGCCGCGAGCCCGCATGCGTGGGCTTAACTCATCCACGTCAGCTCGGAAGGACACAGGTAGGGTTTCTGTTGGAGAACGTATAACAGGTATTGTGTTTTTCGATGAGTAATTTTCATTAATTGTAAAGTTGAATCTTATTTGTGAAATACTATTTTGAATCGGGAACTAGGACTCTTCAACTCTAGGCTAATGGAAAAAAATTACTGTCGAGTGTGTTATAATTTGATTGTAAAACCTGGCCACTTAACTAGCCCGGCCAGTTATTGTGGCGAGTTGGGTTCACCTGAAAAAACTAGCTACTTAACTAGTTCGGCCAGTTATTGCTGGAAATTAGCTTCACCAAATTGACTGATTCTTGATCAAGTTTAAAATTTATTCCCATTTGGGAATAAAGCTTACACTAATGAAATATTATTAGTAAAAGACAATTTAAACCTTCCAAAATTGTCCCATTTTTATTTATTTTTATTTTTATTTTTATTTTTTTGCAGTTTTATAATTTTTTATGACTCAACCCAACATTTTCTTTAACGAAAGAACCTTTTTATAAACCGTGGCTTTTAGTTTCTTTATTATTGTTGGGGAGCCAATTGATATGGGTTGTTTTTTGGCCATCGAAACATGACAGTATCTGAGAATAAGTATCGACTAACTCTGTGTCAACAATCAAGGTAAGACGCATGATGCAAGTATTATTGACTCGATCAAATCTAACTACAAATGCATATATGAAAATGATATTTTAATTGAGTGGATATTTGAGTTGTTAGAATTTTGTTCAAAATATTAATAAAGAATGAATAGATGAATAAAACGACAAGATAAATATAAAAATAAAAAATAAAGAGAGGGGCTTTAACCATATGCTTTAACCGCATGGATAAAGTCCATGCGGTCGCATGAGCCCCTTCAAAGAATTGAATGAGGCTCTCAGCACTAACCATGCAATCGCATGGTTTTGTGTCATGCAGTCACATGGTTGATGGAAAATGATTGTGGGGTCAATTTTTTTACACTTTTTCAATCAGAATTATTGGCTTTTCATCCTTTTTTTCCACCATTTCATGGGAACTCATTTAAGCTTATAAATAGGTGATCCAAGTGCAAGAGAATTACAATATAATCTATACCCAACTATTCATTCAAAATAATAATAATAATAATAATCATATATTCATTGCTTATCTTCTCACTTGTTCATTGTGTAGAAACATTTTTACTTTTGCTGTTCTTCATAAAAGACTTGTTTAATCATATGAACGATTTGCCGAAAATCCTTGAAAGCATTGGAAGGGAGGCAAATAACATTGGAGAATAGCGAGATTAATTTCGTGTTCAAGGTTTCATTGATATATTTATTATTTTTATCCTTGTTTCTACTTCATTTTTTCTTTTCCATTGCCATATTTTTCAACACGAGTAGGGTTAGCAATGAAAATATCACATACTCCCAAGGTAGTAGTTAGAGTTGCATGGGCCAGAATTGCTGTATAAAAATAGAAACTGATAAACTTGCTCGATTTCACGTGATATGTTTCATTCACTCAAACAAAAAATCATCGTTAAGTCGAAAATTTTGTGGTCAAACTGGTACAAAACTAGTAGGACCAAAATTTGTATGGTACACTTTTATCTTTTCCCTAACAATTATTGCTCGAGGGTCCCTAAGTACTGAGCATCATTCATGGCCCATCTGCAAAATCATGTTATTTCTTTCGATCAACTGTCTTCTATTAATTGAAACAAAAAATATTAACTTCTCCTATTCACATTTGTTATCAATTGGCAATTATCCAAGGCGATGAGCTCGTCCCACAAGTGATTTTGAGTAAAGATTATGGGTTACTTTATTCCCATTACGATAAACATTGCGATCTGAACAAGTTAACTCTCGCACTTGGCCTCTTCCACTTTCATCACAATATTCTTAGCAAATAGAAGACCCTTTATTGAAGCAATTGACTCGACGTCCACCTGTGAGGACATCCATTTATTTCACATGCGCAACCAGTTACCACCCTCTCGTGATTCCGAATGACTGCATCTAATCAAGCGTCGCTAGGTGTGGAGCCAAGGGGACAAAAAATGAATTTATACCAATACAAAAGGGAAAAAAAAATTCATAAGTGATTTTTTATTTATTATTATTATTTTTTATTTTTTTCCGACCTAAAATGTTAAATAGGCTTGTGGCAGGCTTGGGTTCCCTCTCCCTCCGCTTCTGGTCATCAATCGTCTGAATAGGAGCATCTATGTTTATTCATGTTCGATTTAGCTAAAAAATGATTAAAATCTAAGTTAAAGTCAACAATTAATCTAAACTAACCATAGGCTTACTTTAGCCAGAGCAAGGTTTACCCCACCATGCACTCAACAAGTTGTTCTGAACGATAAAGTTCTAATAAATACCCAGTCGAAACTCTCTATTGTATGAGTATATTGAACAACCATACATAACTATGTTCTTTCGAAATATCCTACTGGTACCATATGAGTATTGCGGATAAAATTCGTTAAAAACGTGCAATAAAAATTACAGGTCCCGTGACTATTATGTAATTTCATTCAAAGAACATGTTTGGGCATGTTTACAAGTGCTTATATTTGTTTAGGCTCTATTTATATTCCATTCAAAATAAAGAAATTCTGATTTTTTTACTTTGTGTATTTTTTTTAAAAACAACTTTTAAGCATGATCTAACACAGTGAAACTAGTAGTTGGAGAAAAGCGAAGGGTAACATGACATGAGGTCGTGCTTATGGTTATATTTAGAAACTCAGAACTGATACAGATTATTTAAAATTTATTTTTACTAACTCATTTTTAACCTCATATTTTCTTAATAAAATAATTTTACACATCGATCTATATATATATATATTTTCCCTTTTAATTATGCATTCTTCAAAAAATATTTTTTTACCAATACATTTTCGTAAAAGAAAAAAAATCTACCTCAAACTTGCCTTCGGTTATTTACGTGCGACAACAAGACTCAAGTTATATAGAACTTGTTTGACCCACATTATTTTTAAAAAATATATTTTTCAACAGTGATTTGACATCATGTTAATCACACATTTTTCAATAAAATAATATTACAAGCAAATTTAAAAATTTTCCTTATTTTTTAACCACACATTTTTTATTGATTTGACATGAATAATGCATTTTTTTTCTAAAATGTGGCTCAAACATGGGCATATAGAGCTCCGATTTGATACAAATTAAAATCAAATTTTTATTAAATTTTAATAAAAATTGATCAATATGGTTGAAAAGTAATGAATTTGATGAAATATATCGATTCAGAAATTTGGGGCCAATAAACATCAAACATGTCTCATCTAATCACAGCCTTTTTCTCAACTTGTAGCTGCCAAAACAGCTCCTTCCTTTTTCCTATACATGGCGGCTTATTGGATGTCATGTCATGATTACTATTGGCTAATTATGGTGCCCTCAAATCTACTGTCCACCTCCCACGCTGAGAAAATCTTTTGGTTGCATCGTCCACATGGTATGATTGTCCAATGTCGAGGATCCATCTCGACGGATGACCTACACATCTCTACTGAAGATTTTCTCCGCAACTCCAATATTTAAAATTGACTGGTAATGTGTGTAAATAAGTGATAAATTTATTAATCAAATTTTAAGCAATGATGTGAAGTGCCGTCGAACGTAGATTCTTAACTTCTCATTTAACGAGCATTCGTAACACTCACGTGAACTCAACATCAAAATTGACTTCTAAAGAAAGTGCCTAATTAGTAATTCACAAACTACACCTTAGTCTAGCCATACAAGATCATTATATTACGATCCTATCACATTTTATTGTCACAACAACTCATGTTCTTAGCTAGACGAGTCCACGTAACTAAAACTCTACCAGAAGTAACCCTCATACATCAATCTGCTAGGTCAAGAAGAGTGCTAGCTCTTTATATAAAACCCATTTTGAGATCAAACATAGGAAAAATGCCCGATCAACTGTGACTGAATGACGACTACTTTGTAATACTCAGTATTCTAACCCCAAAACAACGTCTCTTGGGTATCATCATGGGCATGACTTTCGATATTACAAAGTGATCGTCACTCCTTCCCCTAAACTTGACAATGTGAAATTTATGAGTCAATTTCTTTGCTTGAACAGAAGCAGGCTGCCAGAATTAACACTGTAAAATCTGTCCTTTTTTTTTGCCATTATCCAACAAAAAATCATCAAGTGTTATTTGTATTAATTCTAACAATATATTTTTTTGTACAAATAGTAAATCTCTTTATGACTTATTGTACACTTGTGAAAAGAAGATGAAATGGGACCCAATATACATTGTGATCGAACAAACAAACAAATCCATCATTTTGACCAAATCCTTTGTTCCTTGATCCTATAAACCTATACCTCTACTCTTCAACATAGGCGTCTGATCTGACCACTTTATTTAAAACCTCCCATTGAAACGTCCCTTTTTAACCTCTCATTAGTCCACTTCCATTTCTTCAACTTTATTTGCAAATTCAAATACATACAAAAGAGTACACAATATTGTTTCCTATATAGAAGAGTAACAACACCCAGAAACTTGGAAAATCAGATGAGAGTAAATTAACAATGCTGGCAATTGGGACAAGAGAAATTCATCTAAGAACAACGCGCAACTTGGTCTCGACTTGTTCTCGTACCCTCCACTGCCAACCAAAATCATAAAAAAAAATTCATCTATATTAGAACAAAAGCAAAGATGAGATACATGGTAAAGAAATTTATTTGCCATATCTCCTTAGTGGTCTACTTGCAAGTCGTTTATCTCCTCATCTGTGAGTGAACGCTCCATTGATCGATATGCTATCCTATAACAATGACTGGTCATTCCTTTCTTGTTGGTGAAGTTGTCTATCAATTTCACCTGGCAAGAAAATTGATATGCTGTGGTGAATTAAATAAATTACGAAAAGAAAATTTTCCTTCAGCTAGCAGATGAGGAATATCAACACTCCAAATTTGTATACTTTGGCAAATACACATCAGAACATTTTTATTAGCAGCTTCTACCATATGGCTGGCTCCTTTCTAATGATAATGAATAAGATCTAGTGAAAGTGAAAGGACAGTGCATTGCTTAACTTCATACATGCACTTTTCTTCTCTCAAGCACAGTAATTAGGCACCAGAAATGGAAAAAAGTAAACATTGAATAACGCAAACGTGACAAATTTAGCTTTTCTTCGGTTAAAAAAGTTAACCTCAAATCTTCAAAAAATGTGCAACATTTACAAGATCATCATCACTACCAAGCTGCAAATTCACCTGTCATCTAAAACATGTGGTACTGAAATTAGAACTTGAATTTGAAATGAAAATCAAGCTAATCTACTGCAAACTCAGCATGGCGGCATAGTCTTGCCGAGGATAAGCATAATGGAAGTTTTGTGGTCCTAGAAACATTTAAAAAATAATCTTGATGATAGTTATATGGCAATCACTCCACATTGAACATCTTTACACTAGATTGTCAACGTTTTGTCATCGTCAAGGGTTTGTTTTTAAACTACATGAACTTATGGCCCTAAATATATTTCATAGCCGATCCGAAGCTCTTGAAAAGTCATAAGATTACTATCACTACCACGATTTTTCACATCAGTTAATGAATAACTATCTTACCAAGCTTCTACAGGGGAAAAGGGTATAATAGTGAAATATTAAATGAACATACCTCCTCCACAAGATCCCCAGCAATACCTCTAACGACTTCACAGAGGTTGTTCTCAGTAAATGAATCGCTGATCCAGAAACTCATGTCCTTGTAACATGGAGGGTACTGTAAAATCATAGAAATATTTGAGTTTCTATATAAAATGTCACTAGAGCTACTTCTATAGATCTAGAAACAAATAAAATATTTGAAACATGAGTGTAAAAACAACATTCTGTAGAAAGCAATTTGTACAGCCATCATATTTAGGCCAGAAACGGGATAGAGAATTAAAA